ATATCAAGCTTCTGAAAATTTCTTAGATTACATGCAATCAATTTCAGTGTATGGCATTATCAAGCTGAGCTTTATTGTCAGAAGATATAAAAGGCACACGATAAAAATTCAATTGTAACTGATATCATAATTGGTGATAACTGTACTCGGAGATGGGCAATTAGAATTTTTTTGTTTTAACATGTTTTTCCAACGAAGAATAACATAGTACACTTGAATGATGAATGCTGTTGTGCATCACTGATATAAGAAATTATGTTCCGTTTTAATTGAGCCGGACCTTGTAGAATAAGTATAGTTTTAAGTTGATTTCTAGATAGCTAGGAACCATTAGAGGGAAGGATTTTGGAGGCTTGAGCGGGAGGCGAATGTTAAAGTGTTTTGGATTGTATTATCTTATCAATCTCGGAGTGCAATTTTCGTTTTCTCAATTACTTATTTACGTGAATTAATGCATGGCATGGGCTCTTTGGCATATAATGCATGCTAAGTCACCTCTTTGGTTAGGCCCAACAACTTGGAAGTCGTCTTTGGCCCATTACTTTGGCAGTATTGCCGGCCTTCGAGCTTTAACCTTAATTATTAGTTGCCTTTGAGCACTTAACCTCCTTCTTACTTAGTAGGTTGGGCCAACCATTTACTAACTTCCTACCAATTGCACCATTTTACCACAAATATACTTCTAAACGGCTTTATTCAAGCCACTTCGAAATTCGCCAATGGCAATAATTTTGAAGGTTGGTCTTCGCGAATAATTTAAATTGTGTCTTGTGAAAATGTCAAGCTTTGACTTGTTCATTTCATTTTTACTAAGGTTCTTGCTAGTATTTGAACCCCGATCTTACCGTTTATTTCGTTATATTATAGTATAACCCCCGGTATTCACCTCTCGTCTCGTACGTGTAATCTCGCTTCTTGCCTCCGGTGCTGCCAGTGCATACTACCAGTTCTGCGTTGTACTTTGTTTAATTTAAGGTTAGAAAGTGGAATAGCGTTCACTGTCATATCTTGTGCCATTGGAATTGGAATTACTGAATATAGTGGTATTATAGTCATTTCTAGAGCTTCTACTTGCATTTAATATGGATAATTTGTTTCTAATTTCAGTGTCTTGAACTTCAGCCTCAATAGTTAAAGAGTGACTGCACTGCATGGTGTCCAAGTTTTGTCGTTTCGAGTTCAATAAAAATTATTAGCTGTTATATTCGTATAAATTCCTTACACTGAAGAGTTGGTTTGTATGCAAACGTTGTTTTTACCTTGCTTCATGCATAACATTTTTTTTCGTAATTAATGAAATTATTGATGGCTTTTCATATGGAGTGTATCGTGAGTTTATACTTGTGGCTAAAAAATAAATCGTCCACATTTCCTGAAGGTGAGAGAGTGTTTCAATAAAAAATTGAATGTTATCAACTAGATTACATTCAAATGCTTACCAACAAATACTTTCAACCTGACATATGAAGAGTTAAAAAATTATCGTCACTATTACCTTAATTAAACAATAGACATAATAAATCAAACTCTCATAGCAATAAATTTCCGAAATGGTAACAAAGATTCTCGTTATAGGTAATACATTTTTTTTATGCAGACGCATTTGTATTTGTGACGGAATACAATTTTTGTGTAACATTTTTTTTGTGGAACGTAGTTATCGCAGAATTTAACTTTTTTTCAAATCATTATAATATGACTGACTAATTAAGGTGTAGATATGTTCATTTTGCGTCGGAGATTTGAAATCTCCTTTAACTGTGATATTGTTTAGTTGATAGCATGCATTGCTAGCAAGTGTCTTAATTAAGGAGTTTGTGAAACACGTTTATAGCTAAAACGTGATTTGCCAACCACGCACGGGTGCAAATTTTGTATCTTCGAGACTGTTCTATAATTGAATATGACGGATTTGTGATTCTCTTTCCAAAGGACTCAGTTTACACACATGTTATAGTATCTCATATTGAACATAAGCTATGTTTATAGCCCGTTACATTTACATTTAAGAGGAAGTATTGTTTATGAGAATATTTTGGTTGTAACTCTTTGAAAATGGATTTCATTTTCGAGTGTCCAGTCTATAATGATACGGTTAGGTGCAAAAGTTTCGAGTCGAATTTTTATAAGAGACTGCCGTAGTTGTGATCTCAGATAACTTAACGGCCCATAGGGCGTTTGGTTAAACTCAGCGTAAGCACAAGATCCTCCAGCGAGGCAGATGGCGATCTTACCTAGTGCGGCTAGAACCCGTGCCACACGCAATCTCGTATCTTGGAGGCTACTAACATTTGAGCTCGAGTATCTGTCACAGAGGCGTGTCGGGAGTCGTACCCAATTAAATGGTTATAGTATGATTAGGTAGCATAACACTGATAGTTAAGGCAGTTGCTACCCACGTCACTCGCTACTCTGCGTCTTGTATCCAGAGGTTATAATTCGGACTTCTAGAGCTCTTGGATTGTCAATGGAGGATAATATGTATCTACCTCGAATGAAGGAACTGTGCGCCCTTGTACGAAGACTCATGTACATTATTTGATGAATTCTAGTTTACGACGAAAATCCACCTCGAGTTCATTTCCTGCATTACGGGGTTGGGAGCCTGACATGTCTCTCAAGCCCTTGCGTTTCAAGTCAATTAGTTTGAACTCCCCTCCTATCGCTGCGATGGCAAGCGCCAAACTGCTTGAAGCTAAATTTGTATACGACAGCCAGGAAAGTTTAGCATTTGAGCAAATGTCGTCGACGCGTAAAGAAATAATTTGGCTCCTCAATCCCCATGCTGCAGGTTAAAGATTTTGAGGTGGCTTTCCCTATATCGTTTTATGAATTTGCATTTCCACGTTCAGATTTATACATTTGTAACCTTTTTCAGTTCAGCAAACCAGGGGCAAAATGTCATTATTAAGTTCCGCTGGAAAGGTGACATGCTATTGGAGGTGGGACTTGCTGGTATTTTGAATGAAAACCTAGCGGCGGGAGGTAGCTAGTGTTATCGACTCGACGCTATGTTATACTTGGTAAACATTGCAAGTCTAGCACGTTGTAGCGGTTCCGTTCAAGATTTTGTATTAATATAATAAAAATATTTAGAAATTTAGAGTTAGATTTAATTGTTAAAATAAGATTTGTTAATACATGAACGTCACCACAATGAACACGACAATAGCTAGTTAACTTCATTTCAACTTTTAGTATATTTTGATTCATTCCACCAGAACCTCTCATTAGAGTGAGTACTTAGGTGTAGCAACTATCATCATGTACTAATTACTTTGTTAAATAGATGAATTGATTTATACTGTTTATAATCGTTTTCAATGTATTTGTATTTGGGTAACTTGTAACGATCTGTTATTTATACAGGATTCTATAATGAGACCACATCAAAGCGTTCTTATTTCCCTCGAATCGAACGTGAGATGCTTTACTGATGACCCGAGTTGAATGCGAAAATTGACACAATGGCTTACCAAGACGAAAAAATCCTTTGGACATATCTTCAACCAATGCAGTGTCTATTAATTGAGATGTCAGTATTCCAGAGCTTGGAAAGTGCCGCCAGTATTTGGTTCGAAGTACTGGAGGCACAATTTCAACAGCTTGATTTCGAGCTCTTGCGTATAGGTTATAATCAGCATCGCTACGAGTCTGTAAATAACTCTAGTAGGCTTTTCTCTTGGTTTTCAGCTCAGCTAGAACTCTACTGTTCATCCACTGATTTATTTTGTCTCGACCGAGCTTAATTTTAGGTACACACGCATCAACAGCAGACATAACCGTGTCCTTGGGAAATAACCATGACTCGGCTAGAGTCATGTCCTTATTACAGTTCGTAATACTCGCTGCATTCGGCGCTTCACGTTTATTATAGGCCAGTTAAAATGCCGCATTCAGTTCCTATCCTCTACGAATTGTAAATAGATAGTACCTTCTCCAGATGCTATCTCTTTTTTATTTGTTTTATTTTTTTAGAAATTATAGAATATCTAGAAATAGAATTTTTTCTATATTAGTTCTAATGTCTTCAAGTTTAGGTGAATTTTTTTAATGTGAAATTTAGGCTACTAATTGGTTGTACCTGTGTTCTAGGTTTTGAACTGACGATGGAGCCCCACTCCGAAACGTTTCCTCTTAAAGGAAATGGTGAACTTTTTGGCTGTTTTCTTTACTTTTAAATTACTGGTAAATTTGCGACTTGAGCAGCCAAGTGATCTTAATACTAAGAATGGATACTGTGAGATGAGATGAACTCAGCTCGGGGTTTAACTCCGAGATTCAGAACGTGAACGTACAGTCGAGTCAAGAAGTAGCTTCCGCGCTAGAATAGCGCTGCGACACAAAAGAAAAAAAAATTAAGTAATAACCAATGAATAAATTATTTAGGATATGACATAAATTAAAATTTTCAGCCTTTCTTGTTCGCCAGGTATTTATTTTCGCGTTGAATTTCACCAACTTTTAGCATCAGCTAGTACTGCTTTATGGGCAAATTAGTGGCAATGCACGAGAAGTTTGGTAGCACCTAAATAATTGCAGCAATAAAGCTACCTGTAATGCAGCACGTCGCCACAGCACTTTGCCAGCCTTCTATATAGAGACTATCACGTAAAAAATGAAACGTAACTTTCTAGCAACACCGAAACAGCTTTGTGCTTATTGTGTGGTATTCCAACGCTACTAATCGAATTTCTAATAAAGAGTAGCTTGTTTTTAATGACGAGCGGCGAAGTTTTTGGGGACTTTCCAATTGTTCAACAAACTAGCGTTTTCCCAACACAAACTTTGACAAAGCACGTGATCGTTCCTCAATTACTTTACTAATTCAGGGATTTTTTAATAAATAAACAGTTGAAAGTAAATATAATTAACAAAGGATAAATAGAAACCCAAAACAACAAACTTAACCCTTAACCGTGCATTTCAATCCACTTCCAATTTAATCCCCAAAATTCAACCAAAACCATTTTGAAATAGAACACAATAACACTTGAAATACTAGAGAATATGAATATATAATGAAATTAACACACACAAATATTCAATAAAACACGAAACGCTTCAATCACAGATATAATTCAAACAATCACAAATATAATCAAAGAGCTGCCAATTAACGCACCTCTATGGCAAAATTACGAGATTCAATGACAAAAAAACCCTGTTGCTTGAGTTCACGGCTAAGATGATTGAAAACTGGAAATTAAGAACCAATATACTAAAACTTAAACATTGCAACTTAAAAATTATATGTACAGCAATAAATTAGATCTATTTCCTCCACAACATAAGTATTGAAACCCTCAGCATACGTTGTAATATGGCTGGTTTAATTGCAATGCTCGATGGGCAGCCGTAACAGTAGAGAATCCAGACGTCTTTTAAGGAGGGGGAGAAAGGAGAAAATTCAAGGACATAAAAACCTGTAAATGGCCCTTCAGCAAATAAACCTTCAATATGACCAAGGATAAAAATCCTCCTTTTTTCGACACAACTTGTGTCGCAAGATATTTTTGTTAGCTTGCATAAAGAGCAACGTCACTTCATCAAGATTCATTGTTTCTTCAAATTTTTTATATCAGGCCTGTCAATTTTAATAATTTTTTAGATGAATCGTTCATTTTCCCTGAAAATTACTTAATTGCGTATCTTATTGGTAGATTTAATAGGTTCAGGATGCGAAGTTGATGATTATTGTTATTCTACGAAGCGAATGTGATGACGCCTGGTTCAACCGAGCTTTGTGGGCACGCTAAACATTGAAAGCATAAATAAATTTGATAGTAAGCAAAAAAGATACGAGTAAATGAACAGATAAAAACAACAATGCACAAAATTCAGAGGTTCTACGAAATAGTTCCGTTTTAGGGCGTCGATGAAACACCGGAAACGAAGGAGCAGACGTTACAGAAGCTGCTTCTATCAGCAGCGACCGTTGACGCTCTGTCACCGACGCTGGATAGACGTGTATAGATGGTTCGACGAGGTCCGCTGTTGACGGAGAACGCAATCACCTTCCAGGAAGTTGGTCCTGATACGCGCTCCAAACCTTCTGCGATATAAGGAGGTGCCAGCTACCATGCATGCAACGGACAGTCAGAACGGCGACTTTGAACTGTGCTCCCTGCTAGATGCGCACTAAGCAGCCAGTGAAAATCGCGCATTTTTGGTCTTGATTGATCGAATTTTCGTTCCTTGCGATCACACACGAGTAGTGCGGTGACTTCTATTACAGATTTTTGTTTGTTAAGTGTCGTGGCTGGAAGTCAATGGAGTGTGGCATTGCTATAGTCCAATTAGGTCCAGACGAGCGCCAACCCGAGTGCCTCGAGAGACAGCGACTGACGCTACCTATTCGTCGAAGAGCGCTACAACGAGCGATGCTGACTTAGGCAATATGATTGTTCATAGGAAGTTCCGAGCGTCAAGATCGCGTTTATTAATAACGGCGTAATTGTTACAGCTTTTAAATTCTTTGGAACAGCGTCAGTGATTCAGTGGTTGAAAAGTTCCAGCAAAAAAGATGTTAGGGTTATGCTGACATCATCGGTTGTAATGTAGGTGAGTCCTCATAGCACAGTCGAACAGGTACGGCGTAGCTGTCACTGACGGAGCATCGGTCTATATGACCTTCTACCCAACAAACACCACAATGCCCGAGGGGGATAAGCAAAAAATATAAACATGAAAATTATTTTCGGAATGGCTGGTCTAATACATCGTTCAGCTAATTAAATTTTCAGGGAGCCTTGTGGCTCATAGTTCATTGATGATAATTCTAGGCAAATTTTGCGCAAAACCGTCAAGACCCTGCTGCAAACTCACTTTTATCTGACCAGATTTCCTCAAGGAAATTAGAATACACGGGACGATTTTTTTGCACTATAATTAGTCAAAAATGCTCCTAATATCATACATATAACTTAGAAGGTTACCTACGCTCTGTGTGTACTTATAATCGACATGTATGAATCCGAGAGGGAACAAAAATTTCTTTCAAACGGCACGACAAGCTGTAGGCAACCTGCGATTGGGTTGCACCTCACCAAAAGCACAATGTCCGTTGTAAATTGTTTTTCTCGTTCTCTTTGATTCTTATATCAAATTTATTCACCAAGACTTATTATTATCACTATTTGTAATTAGTTATTTGTAATTATCAAAAACAATGACTGAAATAGGGGAAAACTCAATTATAAATCAATTCATTTTCTCGGGACTTCTCATCGCTGACCTTTCAAATCTTGCCACAACCATACGTATTTTTTATGTCAACATAGAGTGTGCTGTTAAAATTTGCAATGCAGGCCTGCAGTGGAGACGGGCATGATCGCAAACATATTGAACGAATTCATCAGGATTAAGATCACAAAATTGTTTTCGAAGTTCGCAATAGGGCCCATACGACACCGGAGTGTTGCTTTCACGCTCCAGGCTTTGAGTTAAGTTGAAGATGAGCGACGATGTCCGCCGCTGGACCACTGCTATACGTCAACATCGGCATTGACAGATCTGTTTTATTCACCTCGGTATTAATAGCAGAGCTAGAATTGGTCGAATTCGTCCCGTTATGTACCAACACTGAATTCTTTTGGGAGCCCTCTGCCTCAGTAGTAACAACAATACTAGTATCTTTGGTTCCCTGCAGCTGGCTAAGGAAGTTGTCAAGCGATATTGAAGCATGAGAAGAGTTGGTCTCCACCACTAATTCGTCCACTACTGCAGCAGGTAGTGGTGTGGTGGTTGTAGTGGTGGTGCTTGGTGCAGCTGTGGTCAAGGAGGGGAGGGTTCCCTTATAGGGCTCCGTCACCAGGCCCAGTACGCCCGTCATGTCCGTGATCACCCCGACGATCTCGATGAGGTTGGCGGGGTCGGCGCCCTCGGGGATGTCGTTGCTTTCCTGACGGCAATTGAAACTCATGGTCAAAGAGGACAAAATTCGCCTTACGGCTGATCAAATCAACGCAATATTGACATCGTTAAATTCTAACAATGGGTCACTGCCGCCATCCTTTCACCAACTCAAGTGAACAAATGTAGGACCAAATAGGTGGGGTGTAGCAACCCAAGAAAAGGATTGCCTTGTAAATCAGGCTGCGATTATTTGTTTCCTAAGTTTTTGTAATGCTTAGTGCTCCAAGATGATGATTATATGGAGCCTCAGGATCGGACTTTCTGGTGCTCCATAGTGGGGATTACCGTGTCCCACAGACTAAGGAATTATCCGGTGCTTCAGGAAGTTTTACAAGTTCTCCATGCTGGCTAATGCTTGGTGCACTAGCCTGAAATTACGCGACACTCTTCGTCGGGAAAACCTTCCGGTAAAGACCTGGTGCTCCAGGATGAGGATTGCCTGGAACTCCAGGCTAAGAAATTACCAGGAACTCGTGGCTAGGAGATTCCTTTTAACTCCACGAAGCCGATTACCAAGATCACAGAGCTATATGCTTACCATATGCTACTGGATGTGGATTAATTGGTGCTCCAAGATGGAGATTATCTGGTCCTCGATGCTAGGGGATTACCTGGTGCTCCAGGATAGGGATTTCATCCTGTAGGAAGTGGGTGACGTCGGTGATAGTGAAGGAGGGCATCTCGGTCGTGGGCTGCTCCGTGAGCGCTTTGCCCGCCTCGTTGAACCTGCCGCATCAACGCACAATCAAATATATATACCGTACGTCGTCAAAATGTTGAATAGTTGAGGAATAATATATGGTCACAAAATGATAATAAGATGAATAAATAGTAATCTGGGGATTGTAGTATAAGTAGTAATCTTCATCTATGGGGATTGGCCTCCAGCTGTCCGTTTACAAACTAATGGAATTGTCTGAACTTTGAGATGGGTAGTTTTCAGTCATTTTCCACTTCATAAATTTTCGTGTTGTATCCTATTTATGTGTATTAGGTACTTGTGTCTACCTAAATTTCATTGATCGATGCTTTTGTAACTTGGAATTGAATGTTGAAACATTCGAAACGTCGTTAAATATATTATAAACACTTGCTGGGACCTATTTTTTGATTTGTCAACGTCATCTGAGGAATTTTTGGCTCCCTGAAAATTGCGATATAATGCATTCTCTGGTCGATCATAGTACGTGTTTCAACACGAAAATTCTGCCATCTAATACTAATGATGAAATCCTGCATAGATAATAAGAATCGTTATCTATGGTGATGAAATGATGCCTTAAATCAGATACTTATGAGCGTATATATACTCAGCTCTTCATGGAATTCTGACGGAGTTGACTGAGTACGTAGACTGTTTGAATTCTAAGTAGACTATATGACTAATATGAGTTACATGAAGAGTGTTTAGTTCTACGGGGATTGTTGAGTCTTACGAGAACTGTCGAATTCTACGTGTACTGTTCCAGTTCTACGTTGACCAAGAGCGGTTTCGTGGACTGTATGCGTTCCATGTGCACTGCTCTCGTTCTCTCTAGATTTTCTGCGTACCACGTGGGCCGCTTGCGTCCTACGTGGACTGTCAGCTCGGCATGTGGACTATCGTGGACTCACACGCAGCAGGAGAAGGAGACGGTGGGCGTGAAGCCGTCCTTGAGGCCCTTGCAGTGCTGGCTGGGGTCTGCAGGTAAGAAGTCCACGTCCGCAGAGCAGTCCTCGCCCAACATGCAGTATCCCTCCCCTTCCCCGCAAGTCTCCACCCCCTGGATGACAAACACTCCTGTGGGAGAAGGGACTCGTAAAATGGCAAATAATTATTGTGTACCTCGAGCTCCGCTCTCCCTCTTCTCAGTCCTTCAATGTCTTTTTTAAATATATTCTCTGCCTTACCCTCAAATTTTTATTATTTCAGATACATTTAACGTAAATTTTTCCTACCCTCAATTCTGAATGGATTTTAGGAACAAACGATAAGATTAATAGAATGAATTCGAGTTGTACGCTCGAACGATTGTTAGAATTTATCCTTGGTGAAGTTGTGCAGAAGTGTAATAATATACGCTTAGAAATTACTTTTCAAAGACAACACTCCTAAAGAATCCACTGTCTCCAATGTTACAGATGTATCTACAATGAATTTCTAATTTTACTTTCAAATATTAAAAAATAATTTTTCAATTTTTTTATATATAAAATTTTTTTTAACAATTTTTTATTCTGTCAATTGATTCAGGCATTGCCTCCAACTTCACACAAGTGTGCAAAATTTTAGATCAATTTGACAGGTAAAAGTGTGTCGAATATCAATTGTAATATTTGTAGCTGACAAAATTATTTTTTCAATTTTTTTATTATTAAAAAATTTTATATATGAATTTATTTATTTTGTCATTTTATTCATGCATTGTCTCCAACTTTACGCAAGCGTGCAAAATTTCAGATCGATTAGAGAGGTAGAATTATGTTAAAAATAGATTATAAGATTTGATGCAGACAGACAGACAGACAAACAACAGGGAGTGAAGTTAAAGAGAAGTGTTGTAAAGCTAATGCGTGTTTGCTTAAATAAAAGTGATTGCAATTAATATAAAATAAAGATTTAAAGAGCTAGAGAAAGCAAGTACTAACTCGAGAGAGAGTCGACTCCCCGTTGTTGGACCCACCTTTAAACGGGTTAGAAAGATACCCAGATTCCAGCGCATGTTTAAGTGGTTTCGCTTTCATGAAAAGAAAGCTATCCGGCCAGTTTTTGTGCGATTCGTTGGTCCAAAAATAGAAACTGGTAGTTTTTTTAATGCGCTTAAAGCCATGAAAAGAGTTTAAGCATCAAAAACATATAAAAACTGATCACTGTTTTCGTTATAGAATACATGATATTTCAGGTAAGGTAAAAAACTGATTGGATGGTAAAGTTAGGTTTAGTCCTAATCTTTCGTTTCGAGCTCAAATGTCCATAAAACTAATATTAATACATGCTCATTTAATACGACAATAGTACAATTAATATAAATTAGAACAGTTACACTAACAATAGAGCTTACCAGGATCAACGACAGGCATGGCTGCAGCCTGCAGGAGCGTCAACAACATCAACATGCTGCTCATATTGGGGCGGCTTAGTCGCCTATATGCAACGTAGTGAACGCTTGACTTCTGTCGCGACTTATCACTTGATAGTCTCTGAGAACGTCGTCGCATTGTCGCCTAACTTGGATGTAAGAAAAAGGTCCGTAAACCGGTAAACGATGCGCAAAAATGGAACTCTTTCACATTTCTACGTCTAGTTAGTAAAATGATCTCACTATCAGCAGTTATTGTTTAAGCAAACGCTTAAGAAAACAAATTGCAGGTTCGTTTCACAGTAAAAATTTATTGAGACAACCAGAAACACGAAACATATGCAACACAAAACATATTCTCTAAAAATCTACACGTTTTTGTCAAACTTTACAGCTACACAAACAATATGCGAGTTTGTGTCACTACATACAGTTAAACAAACAATCTGCGAGTCTGTTTCGCAGCACACAATCACCTAGGGCTAAAGCCTAAACAATCTGCAATATTTGGTTGCATCAAACAGTTACTCAAATAATTTTCAAGTACTTTCGGCAACAAATAGTTGTTAAAACCACCTAGAATTTAGTGCTGCTGCAAACAGACACAGGCTGAGATACTCAAACATCGAACAAATTTTAACACAGTGAACAGTTTCCCCGAATAATTTGCTATTCCCTGTCAATTGAAACAGTTTACAGTTAGTCAACGTGTAGTGGTAGATGAGTAGCTGTCCCAACTCCCAGTAAACAGTTACCTCACTAACTTGCCCAAACTGCAGGTTCGAGTTGCAACATGAACAAACAATTACGCAACTAAAAACTTTTGGCACAGATATTAGTGAACAAAAGAATAAATTTTTTACAAATAATCCCTAAGAAATTTGTCAGCTGATTGCTCTGTTGGTTAGCACGAGTTGATTTGATTGCCAGTGTCGAAAGGGAACTTTTTCATGGGCCGGGTCAACAGTCAGCACCACGCGTTATTGTACCGGTTACACGAGCGTCACTGCGTCAGCTGTCATCAGTCTTTTCCAAACATCATCTGAGTGGTTCCAGTCAAAACGTTATTATTAGTTTATAGTTATTGTTTCCTTATAACTCGGCTCTGTCGCAATTTTCTTTCTAAGGTTGGCACATTCCATGAGGTACCGACGCTTTTTATTTGATCTAGACTATTTTTGAGTTTTAACGTAATAAGACAAGCGTAAGAGGAAAGACGAGTGTGCGGGAGCAGCCACAAAATAAAAATTTGTTGAAAATCGCTAGCAGAACGAGTGCACGAATTGTGATCTATCCTGCAGTAAGCAAATTCATAACCACAACCAAGCGTTCATACAAGAAAGTAACTTGCATCAATGCTGCTGAAATAAAACTATTTAAAAATCAAAACCATTTAAAGAAAGATGAAATTAACCAATCTCGAGCGATGAATGTGAACAAGAAACGGCACTGCACACCGTGAGAGCTGAACTGCATACACCTCCTACCGAGGTTCGAGAGATACTGAAGTCAGTGCTAGTGCCTGCCATCCTAGACGACACGCGCGCCATACGCGGCTGGAGTTCAGCAGGACACCCGCTAACCTGTCTTTCCAGCCAAACCGCACTCGCTGGCAGCCAGCAAACCCCTGCTCACCCAGCCACTTTCCCGGGATTGCATGAGACATGCAGCCCTACACTGCCATTTTTATTCACAAGTGAAGATGAAATTATGAATTAACTTAATAATTTGTCGGCTTCTGTAGATAGATCTTCTCAGCCGCCTCAATAGGCAGAGGTGGGCAGTAGCGCGCCACATTTTCAGTAGCGGTAGCGGTAGTGGCGCTACATTTAAGGTAATGTAGCGGTAGCGCCCGCTACATAATTAAGTACGAGGTTTTGCCGCTACAGCGCTACCGATACTTTTATAGGTAAAGCCTTTACATTTTAATTAAAAGTATTAAATATTATTTAAAAACCAGCATGAAACATACATAATATAAATTACAGAATAAAACTGTACATACGAAAGATTTCGGTGCAATGTTGTCAACCTCAGCCTGTTACTAGTGTCAGCATGTTAGTTGTTACTGGTTAAGTTGTTACCAGTTACCACTTACAGGTATTTTTTTATGTTTCAATTTGCTTACAGTTATTTTTATGTTTCACCTTCCCTACATGGATGTCTACTTTAATCTACCAATCTCAAACATAATCCAGATATATATACAAATAAAAGACTGATTTTTTATATGTATACGTGGATAATTTTTGAGATTGGTAGATTAAAGTAGATATCCATATAGGGAAGGTAAAACATGAAAATAACTGTAACTTTTATTTACTGTATCTAAAGCCCCGTCCACACGTTCAAACTTATCTTCAGTCTTGCATGTCATGCCAGGTTTGAGCGATTTTGACGGAAGACTGAAGAGCGTCCACACGCTCAAACTTTCCTTCAGTTTTTAGTGCGTTCGCGGCAATGGAGGAGCTAGTGCTGCTCGCTGCAGTGAGCGCAGTTTGTGCCACCTTAATTAGGTTAAAGCGATGCAAGCGTACGCGGTGGTCCTGAAAATTATTTTTAACAATACCACAATGAGGGTTGATAGACAGCATCCCTACCGGCACCAAACAGCATTGACGACTCCATTTTTGGCACATTCTTTCGATAAAGAGTTTTTCTTCGTTGCAAAGTCTTCGTTTGCTGTATGATCAACTTCTTTGCATTTAGCGATCAATGCCGCATAGGCCACTGCTCTCTTGTTCTTGACACTGTAGCTTTTTGATCGAATTTACCATAAACATGGGAAACTACAATATAACTCCATAAACTCACCAAAATAAATCGTGAAACCAGTGTCAGATATCCTGGGATATGAAAAACTAGAGCTAGCGAGGAAAAATGTCACAGCTTTCATCATCAATATAGACTGAGATAGAGTAAAAGTTTGACCAAATAGTCGGTTGCCCGTCCACACGCTCAAACTTATCGTCAGTCTTGCATGAACCCAAAGGTCTCGCCCGTCCGTCTTTTCCAGGTTTGTCAAACCTCAAACTCCGCCCATATGAGTAAATCCCAATAGCAGAACAATAAATATTTAGAGATTTCCAATAATTTTGGCCTCTGTAGCGGCTAATTTAGCGGTGCTATATTTTACTGTAGTGGTAGCGGTAGCGCCCGTTACAATCTAGTGGGTGTAGTGGCAGCGGTAGCGCCCGCTACATTTAGAGCATGTAGCGGTAGCGGCCGCTACATTTCAAAGTAGCGCTGCCCAGCTCTGTCAATAGGGCAGCACCTACAGTACATGCAGCCCTATACTGCCAGGTTTATTCATTAGCGGGGGATAAAATTAGGAAATCATTCAATAATTTGTTGGCTTCTGTAGGATAGTGTAAATCCTAAGCGATCAAGCTCGAATTGCGAATCCTGGCCAATTATGAATATTTTGGCAAACTTGTAGATATGGTGAAAGAAGAGTTTATTCAGAATTCACGAGATAACCACTTGCTGGAATTCAGGGCAGTGCGTAATGAGATTACCGAATACATGCACGATGCAAGTTTCTTAGACTCGATCACACGATCAGATGGCCGGACTTCTTCAATCAAGTTTAAAGATTAATTTCATGTGTTTTTCTTTTTTTCCGTAAAAGAATTAAAAACTGAAATTTGAAGGACACTTATGCCATTAAAATTGGCCATTCATGCTTCACACTGCCGCATTCCTAAAAGAAGCTATAAAACAACGCTCATGGAACGTATATAATGAATTTTGAACTAGAACGGAGCGATTTACCAAACATTATGGATAACTATTCAACTTCAATTCAGTAAATCGTTAACCATTACAAATAAAATGAAAAATAATACTTAGGAATCAAACAACATCACATGTTTAACGTATGTCATGTCACACATAGATACTATACACAGCTCGATGTGCAGCGCCATTTACAATATAGCAAATTATTTTTGGGAAATAAAATACCGTGGATACATAAAATCTAAATAGAAATATGTAGAACATTTCCCTTAAACTTTTAATGTACATATAAAAGCGAGCACTATTGCATGTCGTACACATGTAACATATCACCCACAGCAATCATTATACAGATACATCGTTAGGAATTCAAAAAGGGGCAGATTGCTCTTAACACTGATTGAATTATCATTATTGCGCATTAATCTAAGCACATGCTGCACCGAACTTTGAATTGAACTATTGCTCTAATTCGGTTGACTTGTCAACGTTGTCGTAAAATTCTCAAACACAATAGTAAATAAATACATGTATATATTTAGATATTTCAAAATTTAGCTATCTGTTAGAAAGCGAAATAGTTCAAAATCGTAGTAAGTAATTTAAAATATTTTTACAGTGATTTCGAAAAAAATCACAAACTGAGGCCACGAACTATCCCGCGCTTTGTTTTTCCCTAAAGGTACATAATTCAGCGACCGACCGCAGAGCAGTAAGCATACGTATTTCATAATAATCTACACAGTTCGCGTACCTGACGTGCCTGAAGTAATCGCTTCCCGCTCAACAGACATGTTTATTCAAACTAACTATAGGAGATGTTGGGATAAATCAGCCCAGTTGAAACATGATTTATTCGACACCAGGATCGAATAGTTAGGTGTATGGAGGAGTATCGCGTTGGCAAGCCTGTAAAATTTGCCGATAATATTTTACTAGAGTTCATTGGAGGGGCATGTGTTTATGGCGGAAGTGGAGACGTTGCACTCCAGGGCACTCGAGCTCAAGAAATATATATCTCGTCATAAAAGTGAGATAAAAATACGAATCTGATTTGGTCAAGTATTTTATTAAAACATAAATAATAATCGTTCGCATTTGAAGGCAAGAAACTGTAATAATCTCAGTCTAGAGTCTAGGCGAAAATCCTATTTAATATCTCTATGATCATGAAATAACACTATGTCTAACAACATAACTTAAGTATGATGAAACAAGAAAGGTGTAACATTCTCATGGCTATAAGAACCGTTACGTATCTAAATACCATACATAAACGAGACTATAATGAAAATATCTATGGCAATGCAGTGAAAAATAACTTTTCTAACGAGACCATCATGGTTTTGTCATGAATTTGATAATGCCAGCATGAGCCTCTAATACCCCTGAAAGAACTCTGACAAAGTAAACCACTTGATGTCTTTGATATCCTCTTTAAGCTACAGAAGCCTCCTGATGTTTACAATAAATTTCTTATGCTTACACAAAGGTATTGTCATGTCTAGCCTGCAGACTTTCACTGAAATTTTTTTCATTAGTTTACCCAGGCCTGAATATCGTCACTGGCGCCATCTCGTCAGTCTACCCAGACCTATGTTCGGTCACTGGCGCTTTCTCCCAAGTCTACAAGTTTTACATCTTCTGCCGCTATCATTATCTCATTATGTCCAGTCACCACAGCCATCTCATTAATCTACACTCCATGTACCGTCACCAACAACGCTTCATCGTCTCCCTTTGGCTTACATTGCATCACTAGCGACGCCTAATTAGCTTGCCGAGACCGACGTATGGCGCCTCGGCCACGAAACTAATTGCGGCGCCCACGAAGAAGCTGAGCAGCACCACACCACCGTAGCTCAGCAACTGTTGAAACGTATATTGGTGAGTCTATACAGTGAATGCACTGTCCACATTATCGCTATCATTTCTCACATTGATGAAGGTAACGGGAGCGGCAGTATTGTGAAATACGCAAGTTTTGTCTCAGTTGTGGAAGTTATTTGTCGCACCAAGCTAAAGATGTTTATGTTCACAAGACTCAATTTCTGGGGGGGGGGAGATTCCTTGTTATGGTGCCATTAGTGGGAGACGCTGTAATACTAGCATATGCGGTAGTAACACCATTTAGATTTTAGAGCATTCATACATCGATAAAATTAAACGTATCTATTTTTGTCCTTTTATTTCATACAAATATTTTTGAACACAGGGAGGAATTTCGATGTATTATACCTTGTCTACCTTGCGCTGGCGGCTGGGCTAGAGTCTATCATGACTCATGACGGTTGAGGGGTGCGGAGCACCACTTTTCCCTTTTTCCGCTTTGAGCTTGGTTCGTGATTCGGGATTCGCAACTTTAAACTTTTGTGTTTTGTGTGATATGGAACACGAGACACAAGGTACATGGAGTTCAGACATTGGTATGATGAGAAACACGAAGCATGAGATACATTTGGTTAAGAAATGTGGTTGAACATGAAGGACTAATTTCATTTATTTCAGACATGAGTGTCGATCATTAATGTTAGTTTGCTCACTATGGAGAGGGTTGAGAGATAGAAGTTGCTGTATCCGGAATAGAGAATCATGCCCTGCAGGGGCAGGGAGATGAGGTAGACGCAATAGTTGACACGGCTGGGGAACTGCCAGATGGGGTGAGACAGGAAGACGTCGACAGGACCTGCGAAACAGAATTTGAATATTTTGAATACACTTTTCTTTTGGTGTGTAAAGCCCCTAACGTGCAAGCCAGAGATATAGGGATTTGTTGAGGGCTCAGTAAATGTCTAATAATTCAATGAATACTTAATCTATTTGTTTGTAATAGGAGTTAGACAATTATGTGATGCCCAAACAAGGAAGCATTCGCCACACCTGCCAGTCCGAGGGTGCAGGTGAGCACGAGCCAGCCGACACAGCAAGCCCACGCTGCGATGTCGAAACTGGCGTAGAAGAAGGTACCGGCGGGAGTGAGCGTGGGGTTGGGGTTGCTGAAGCTATAGATGTTGATGTTCACGAGACCAAACACCACCGCTAACACCGTCACCGAGAATATTGCCCATCCCAGCAGAAGCACTTCCTGGTAAACCATGATAGAGAATTCACCAGGCATTCCGAGGTAGATTCATTAACTCCCATATTGACGGATATTAAATAGGTACCTCTTGATGTCTGAGGCTGAAAGTATTCGTAAAACTCGAAATTTGTATGGTACCTCCTGCTATAAATTTTGATTACATTTCCAAGCTGCATTACCTTGCCAAGAATGTTGGTATCTCGTACCAAACGAAGATGGATACTACCACCCATATATAGCAAGAAAACTACTGGTAAAGCCAGTCATATATATAACCACTAAGTCACAAAATGGGCATTCCTCTGTAAATGACCCATTATGTGATACTAAAATGGAACGTCACTGCTTAAACAATTGAATTGGTGGGCATGTGGGCCTCGTATGTCAAGATGAACAGCACCAAGTGATTTACATAGCCGATATGACCAAGTGATTTACATAGCCGAGCTCGTTTTTCGGAAAAGCCAAACAATATTTTTCTCCGTATCTGATTTGCTGAAACGCGAATTTCCGAAAAAAAAATATTTAAATAAATTAACGACGTTTCGAATGTAACGATTTGCATTTTCAAATTCCACAAGATTCGTTTAATTAAAAAAATGCATTCTCTGGTCATCAATCCAACTATATTAATGTTTTTACCAATACCTACGTATGTCTATGAGATAATAACCAGCATGCATTGATGGAAATTTCTTCATTGGAAAGAGAGTAAGCGGAACACTGCTTATGAAATGAGCACATAAAATGAGCATATAATGGGCGCTTGAGAGATGCGGGTCTCAATTTCGTCTATAAGAGATGCGAGTCCCAATTTCAACCTGAGGGTCTCACCTTCTTGCGCAGAATTTGTAGCCAGCGTGGACCTTCGACGCTTCCCCTCTGCGAACATAGGACGATTGGCGTTCATATTAGCGTCGCCTATGTCAAGACACGAAATTTTTGCCTTCGCGAGCATACACACATGTTTATGAGCGCATGCGTGTGTACGTTTGATTGTATTATTCGCAAACCTACGGCAATTTCGTAGTACTAAAAAAAGTGAATGAAAATTTCAGGGCCAAGAAAATTACATGAAAATCCACGTCATTTCCATTATTCATAAACATTTTGAATGCCAACTTTGGTATTAACGTGCGGAGAAATTGGATAAGCATGTAAGCTGTTTGCATTCTCTGAACGGGCATGAATTTGTTTTCTGCGCTTTTTCTTACAATTTCTGGCGATATATACACTAATGACAAAAAACAAATGAACTTAGTAATAAAAACAATAACATTAAATTTTATTAACATGGCTATAAATGTTCATAAATACTATGAAGATTAAATTTTATAAACATGGCATTTGGTACCTATAATCGAAATTTGTGATGGTAGATGACGGGACTACATAGATAGGTCAGATCGTGATTTTAGAGCAAGAATAACTTCATTCTTCTAATCAGTATTGTTGGACTGATGTAATGATACATTGGAGTTCAGAGAAAAATCATGATATGGGACTGAATATGACATCGTTATGTGAAGTGGAAACGAATGCTGACAAAGAAAATGATTTGAAAAATGAAACCGGAACGAGTCCGATTTCAGTCCCGCGGCCACTACTGCCGCAAACGCCCATCATGGCTGACGGGGAGTGTACGGGGAGCGTCAGGATGGTTAATGCATTTTTTATGTTACACAGCTCCGAGCACGATTGTGTAATGGTTGTACATTGGCGAGTATATGGATCGTCGATTGTTTTAAATATTTGCTCATGAGTATGTTGGTACGTGGTTAACAAGTCGTTGACTGGGCATGTAGTAATATTGTCTTACGAAATATGTAAGATGTAAGTTCCGGGGTACAATTGAAATCAGGTTTATGTTCCTCATGGAGATAGCTTGCCTAAGAGAGTACACTTCCACTCAGAATAAATGGCGCGTTCCGTGCTATGTGATTCACTATATTGGACAAGCAGCTGACAAATTTGGCTACAATATGTGCAACAAAAGTACCTGGTGGTGAATTAATTCACTGTCATGTGGTGAAGGGGGAAACTAAAGTGGATTATTACATACTTGGTGCACGGTTATGGGGTGCACTTGTAGCGAACCTAGAAATTACGACTTTTAATAAATATATCCTTTTTCCTCTGACTTGGCAACACCGATAGGAAGTTTACCTCGCGTTCTAGTTTGTTCCTTTGTCAGCATAGCCCAGCCGATCCACAACAGCAGGTTAGTTAAGATTTAGGTCTCTAGGATAAGTTTCTTTGTTTATATGCGTAACTGGTTTTATTGTACTATTATTTGCCTCATCATGGTTACTTATAAGACATACTTCTCGAACAGGTTCTCACGTTGCCAAGGGTATTATTTCTATTATTTCTATTATTACTATTATTACTGTTATCATTTCTATATTCCTTGCCGTATCAAATAAATTCACTTGATCCAGTTCTATTCATTTCCGATCTTGTAATTTCCTCACTGTGCGGGTAACGTACGGCAGTTACACCACACACTCACGCATACGAACCATAACAGAACATGTTTGATCAAGTGCTTTGTGATGAAGTTGCATCATGCATGTAGTCGGGTGATGGAAGAACCTGAAATTTATACTATCAGGTACACTTGACGATGAAGTGGGGTCAGGCGATAAGGGATGATGCTGCAAGTCTGTGACAGATGAGGTGCGCTGTTGCGCGCAATAAGGTGTTGTGATATGCCTACGGTTGAGGTAGGGAATCAGATGGATGAAGCAAGTACCCGCAAGTGTGTATCGGCGTCAACGAGCAGCAGCCCGAAGAAGGCGCTGACGATGTAGGGGCTGATGCGCATGTAAGGCATCAGGTAGGACCACGTCACGTATCTCAGACTTGCCTCACCACTGTGGGCATAATTCCAGGACTCATTTCCGAATTCGATGTATACCAAATTCAGAAGTTCATTTTATAAATAGGCAATTGAGAATGCAACAAATTTGTGTCTTTTTGGTGCAATAAATTGCCAGGCGACATCCTACGCCTTGTTGCTAGATATTTTCAATCGCAATGAAAGAATTAGAAAATCTGTGTTTTTCATTCATAATTTATCGTATAAAAGGGTTTGTAAGCCCTAGACTAAGGCGAAATTTTGATACTCAGGTCTCAAGGAGTTTTATTAAATAATCTTGAAAGCAAGAAATAGTAAATATTAGCTATCTTATACATAAGAAAATCAAATATAAGCAATATTATATCCAAGTAATCCAATAAAATGTATCAAAATCAATAATGAAAGACTAATAAATTGCAGCGCTAAACTCACCGAAGTATTTCGCCACTAAAGGAAGTTAGAACTATGAATGACAAATTAATCTCGTTAACTTCGGTCGGACGACTGAAGGTCTTAACAGAAAGATTACGTGAAGCGTACATGTGGAAAATTGCGATTACAGGGTTAAAGTAGAATATCCTGATAAAAAGCGTTGGTTCTAATGAAGCGGTTAACCGAAAATAACTCTATTTTGACAGCTTTTAAAACTTTGAACGATAGCTATGTAAGTTCTAATTGCTGGATAGCTTTAGACACGTAGCTTTTCATGGGTTGACTGATCGACATAGAATTGAATTCGAACATCGTTCGATTGACTAACTTCGTAGTGCTGAGCACAAACTTCATTCGTTTGGCGCTCTTAAACTTGTTTGTACGAACGTGATTCTGATTCGCTTGATTCTCCTAAACGTATATGATCCTTCCTTCGTTTGATTCACTTTGATATGACAAGTCTGAACGCCATTTGTTTGACTCATTTTAACGTTATGAATGTGAACATCATTTGTTTGGGTTGAGGTTGCTGAATCACTTTATCCTGATGATCATGAAAGTAATTCATCTGGCTTGCTTTAACCTACCTGATGAGTATAAACTCATTTATTTGACTCACTTTAACGCTATGAGTCTGAACATCAGTTGTTTGACTCACTCTAACGTGATTAGTATGAACGTCAAACGTTTGGCTCACTTTATCCTGATGATTATGAACGTCCTTTTGTTTGACTCCCATTAACGTAATGAGTTTGGGCGCCAATCGTTGAGGGAAAATAAATCATTTGACTCACTTTAACGAGATGAGTGCAGAATCATCGTTTGACTCACTTTAACGAGATGAGTGCAGAATCATCGTTTGACTCACTTTAACGTCCTGATGATTATGAACGTCCTTTTGTTTGACTCCCATTAACGTAATGAGTTTGGGCGCCAATCGTTGAGGGAAAATAAATCATTTGACTCACTTTAACGAGATGAGTGCAGAATCATCGTTTGACTCACTTTAACGAGATGAGTGCAGAATCATCGTTTGACTCACTCGAATGTCAGGAGCGACGCAGGCAGCAGATCCTGCGCCATCGTTACGATGCCACATAGGAGGCAGGACGCCAGCACCAGAGATAACGAGTAGAGCCAACCTGCGGGAAGTGGAAAGACGGCCATTCTGATGCTTAGAGTTCTTGCTTTGCGTTGTACATCATTTCGATTTTCTTCTCATATTTTCTCCTCGCAGAACACAACATCTAATAAACACACGCCCACAGTCAGCCTAAAACACGACAACTCCTCACCGCGCACCGCCACTCATCTTTACTCAAAACCACACACTGCCGCTCATCGCCACCAAACAATTAATGCTCGTCGCCACTACTCAATGACAAAATGAAAATTCATCCCACAAAACCTCAACCCGAAATCCACCAATCAACCCCACCCAGTACCTCTTGTGTCCCTAACTCCACCACTCATCACACACACTCATCGCGCCCATCACCCACGGTAACGTCCCATCATCTTGACGGGCAGCAGGAGAAATGGCATCACGAGGTACGCTTGGAAGTCGACGCCCAGGTACCATGTCGACCCAATGCACTGTGAAAAGACGATAAATAAAAATGTAAAAATTACTGAATAAAAAGTATTTGTGTTATCATTATTCTATTGTATTAGCGTAATCCCGCAGATGCGTAATTATCACCGGTGACTCTACCACTCACCCCTGGGAAGGTGCGTCTCGTGTCGCCATACTTAAAGCCCCCGGGCACGGTGAGGATGTTGGAAGCGAACGTCAGGTCGACCCACCAATCGCGCCGGCAGATCTCCAGGTACGAGGACTCGAACGTGCGCCTGAACGCTCCGTGCACGAACAGCGATGACGGCCCTGCGCATAGCATCACGATCAGCAGCACAGCTGGCGTGATCCTGCAGACAACAGGGAAGACAATAGAGAGTTATACTCCTCACATATTGACCTTTTTCTTTTATATCATAAATGGGGTACATTGAGATAAGAGGCACGTATTGCTCTGTGTTTGAAATATTAGGCGCCGCGAAATTTCTCACCGTATTATTCTGTGTATCAGGTAGAGAGCGTATCTTGATAGGAATATCTTCACAGTTTTTGCAGTTCCCTGACTTTTCAGCTGCCGTCGTATCAGCGTTGTTTCACTTTCTCTAATGGTCTCCTCAGCATCGTCCGACCACTGTCTGGCGATGTCCTCCGCATTGTCTTCCACAGTTTCATCCGTCGTATCCGACACTTGAATGGCAGTATCAGTCGCTTCGTCAGGCTGCTGAACCACAGCGGTTTTCATCTCAACGGCCTGTGGATGGTTCACCATTTTGGAAAAGATCTAAAAACAGGCCCTTTGACCGTATCTTTTCAAAACTGACGATAGTTTTAAATAGCTACAATACTTGCACCAGGTTCGATATGGTACTAGGCATTTCGAGACTGAATATATATTTCTCCATAGCTTTATCTAGTCTGTTCGGTGACGAAGTAGTCACTGACTGATATAGTAGTCGGTGACGAAGCGAGATGAAATGTAGTCGCGTCGATGAGTTGCAACGCAGTTTTATTTATTTTATAGCCGGGGCCCCTGGTGTTAGCTCCTGTTTCAAATTCTAGTAATCCTTCTGGGACCTTGTATAAACCATGAGTATACTTGTATGCTTCAATGAGGTCCCCACGCAGACGTCGATAACTGAGGCTTGGAGGCTTCATAATCTTTAATCTTTCTTCTGAAGACTTGCTCTTCAAGCCTGTAATTATCCTTGTTGCACGTCTTTAACGCTCTCTACTAAAATTTTGTCCTTTTACTGATAATCGGTGATACCACCGAAAACAAAAGCTTCATCATTTCTGCAACCAAGAACATGTAATTTAGAGCGTCTGATCAGCCCAAGAAGTCTGTTGGATGTGTTAGCTTGCGTTTCAATATGCATAGAAAATTTCAGTTCATTGTCGACATATACTCTCAGATCTTTTTCCACGCGGGACTTTTCAATAATTACTCTCTCGGTGCAACCATGTTTTCTCACACTGTAATCTTGCTGTTCATTGCCGTTCCGGAGGTGGCGGACTTAACACTATCAGCATTACAACGCAGCTGCTGAGCTGCCGCGTATCAGCCCAGTTAACTAAACTATCATGATCATCTTGCAAATGCACTTTATTTGTCGCATACTTAACTGTATTATAAACTATTGTGTCATTGGCATACGAGGAGCACATGCTTGACACTACTTCTGGCAGAACGTTTATAAAATCAACGAATAAAACAGGCCCAAGAACGCTCCCTTGTGGCGCGCCACTGCGCACTGATGTCCAGTCTGACACGGCTCAGTTAATCCTGACACGTTTTCGTCTACCCACTAAAAAATCTCTGATCTATTGGAGTACATTTTCCCTCTATTCCAGAAACATCATTTCACGCAACAGTTCACTGTCAATTTGAGTGTCAATTGCTTTGGCAAAATCGAGGTACACTGCATCCACTGTTTCCCTGTCGTCCAGCAGGCGAGTCCATGCAATCATTCAAGGTAGAGAAGAGGTTAGTGGTGCAGGTTCTACCGGCAATAAAGCCATGGATGTTGACAGTCTGATAGGAGATGGTGAACAGTCAAGTGATCGATAATCCTATCCCTCACAACAGATTCCATTGCTTACAAACAACACTTGTGAGACTGACAGGGCTATAGTTACTTGGGCAACTCTTGTCACCTTTTTTGTAACAATGGTGACACTCGAGCTTCCTAGCTTCCAGTCGGCCGGCAAAGTCCCTTCGTACAAAGTTTTTTGAAATTAAACCGTCAAAGGGCCGGCTAGGACGGTTGATAATTCTTCGAGCAATCTATGGGTACGTACACAGTGAAAGCAGGTTTGCCCGCGCGGGCAACCTGCTCCAACCTGCCACAAGAATGAACATAGGATAATAATGTAAGTGTTCACAGTGAAAACCTGTACGAATAGGCTTCTGCCGACAACCTGCTTATATCTACAGTATTTACCGGAATGAACTGCACATTCTTATCTGCTCAACCTGCTTGGCATATGGTCATTTTTGAATTAGTTGTACCTTTAACCCTCCATTTTCTTTATTTCTTTGGAGGATTATCGGAGAATTATCGGAAGTGGCGCTGGCGTCCACTGCCTAATTAATCCGATAACGACAACGCGAAATTGTTGCAAATAACGACTGCAGGATATTGCTTGCATCATTCGTTTAGAAATTTACACTGTGCATTAATAATTTCTACCACAGAAAGTAAAGACTTCGATAAATTCTCTGCTTTTCTCATGATCACTTTTCTTCTTAAAATGTTTTTAACAGCTTTTCAGCGGTTCAGAGAGTTTGACGGGTTATATGATGAATTTATCATACGATTTATTCATTTATAATGAGTTTTGACTGTATGATTCGTATTATTGAGAGATTTTATCAATCGTTATAGGGAATGCACAAGCATGTTTCCTGCTTCCTCTGTGAACACCCTCTCGCGCTTGTTTCAGGCGCCAGCCTGAGCAGGTAACCTGCACGCTGACAACCTGCTTTCACTGTGTGCGTACCCTATGGTGGAGCCAGCCGTCTGGTCCGTATATACTTGTTGGGATTCAGAGCTACCAGGCGCTTGCGAACCTCATCTTCGTGTATTTCGAAGCATGTTAACTTCGAGCGTACTGAACGCTCCTCAATAATAGGATTGCTGATCAAGTCCTCATCTCTGAAAACACTGCTAAAAACTGATTAAGAACGAAATCTGTAACATAGACATGCATTATGCCTTATAAAAAATCTATAACATAGACATGCATTATGCTATATTTATATTAACATAATATCCTAAATTTTTAATTTATTGTTCATGCCTCACCTCTGATGAGCTGCACAGCTGTGGCTATCACCACCGGCAGCACCATCGCAATAATCACACACCTGCAACCAGTGACAAAAAAAATAAATTAACAAAAAACGTTAGGAACAAGGCTTGTTACAACTGTGATGATGGCATAGTGAAATCTGCAGTACCAGTATCAATGAGAATTTAGGAAATAATAAGATTATAAAACAAAATGGTCGTTAATTAGGTCATATGGTAACGCATGCAGATATCGGGAACTGCGCGTTTGAAGCCCAGACTTCAAAATTAATTAAAAATACGTGATTTGAAGGATCCCCGAAACGATCAAGAGGCTTCATTGAAAAGATCGACGGCGCCTCAATCAACGTTAATCAGGCCTTCAATCTTTTTGTCAAAACCTCCCCCTCAACCGAAATGGGATCAGTTCACACTTGTTGTTCGTTCACTAGAGGCTGTAGTTTGAGCTGATGTATTAATTTTGGTGATGAGCAATGGTTTCAAATCCTGATATGGCCTTCTTCCTAAAAAATACGCGCATTTTTATGTTAATCATGCCCATCAATCAAACTTTCTATCAATCACCGTCAAGCCTCGCTTCAAGTGTCAAACGAGTTCCTTCACGGTCTATCATGCTTGATGAAGCCGCTTGATCGTCTATGGGCTCTTTAATTAGGGCCTTCGCTAATATGTTCAACTTTTCCCATTTATGAGGTCCTCGAGTAATTCCTAGTGTGAAACGAGAAAAAAATCTAATTGATGTCAGGCTAGAATTCTAATTACTATAATTTAATAATTTATTCAGTGACTTTAAAATTGAGGCATTTTTGCTTTATTATAAGCCAATTTGAGCGTTACGATTTGTCACCATCCAGACTCAACATGACATGCCAAAAGTCGGAAGTGTTATGACCGAAGCCACGCCACGATAGTGTCTAAAAAACAATTTAGGGCCGTTATTAAAGCTGCGTTTTAATCACTGGCAGCCGCAGTTAACGAATCTCATACGCCACAGCTTAAAGCCACAGCTTAACGCCACAGCTTAACGAATCCTGTTCTCTCTAGTTTACGAGTACAGTTGTGAGCAGAGCGATACAGCTAGCGTACATCCGTGGTAAAACTTCTACATAAGATTGATAGAACAACCAGGAAATAGTTATCGTACTAGATACCTGCCGGTGCAACCAGCGCAGTCAGCTGTCCGCTCTTTAAATAAAATGTTGACGGAGTTTTTTTTGCAAATCTAGTCCTCGACTGTTGCATTCGGGTATAAGATCATAACGAAAAATGACCGAAATTTCTAAGAATAATAGGTGATGAGCTGCAAAATTGGTTGATCTATTTTGGATATTTTCGAGCCGTAATATAGTTATTTCAAAGGTTTATCTACGGCATGGTTATAGATACAAGAACAATTCTTGGCGGCACCTACACAGTTTTCATTATGCCTGACCGAGCACAAACAATCGAGAGAGGGATGGTTGACTAAGGATCTCCTGAAATTTAAACTCTTTTAAGAAAATACCCAAAAACTTCGAATCAAAATTATGAATACAATAGTATGAATTCATTTGTCCAAAAAGTACTTGATGAAATTGAGTACTCACGATCCAACAATCTCCCAGGTATAGGATTCCAGCACTTCGTCTTGCTGTTGACACTGCACGTTCGTAAGAGTGAAGGACAAGACCGATAACTGCTGAGACGCACTCTCCTGAGGGAGCAAGGTGGTGTGAAACCTGCTAGTCATAACACTCCATGGGGGGGTGAATGTTCTTTCTGGCAGTACAGAGCCATTCTACTGTTTCATCGCATTTTGTCGGGTAACTAATGAGAATTAATTAAACATTGTTTTATCCTCATGAAACTGAGTTCCACTGTATATAGGATTACGGGCCACCATAATACTAAGTAACAACGCAAGGCAAATAAGGACCACCGTAATACTGAGGGTAAACGCAGGAATATTGACCACCGTAATACTATAGGGTCAATGTATGACTAAGGACCACCCTAACACTCAGGATCAACGCAGGACTAACGACAACCGTCATACCAAGGATCAATGCACGACTTATTATTACCGAACGAAATGAAACCATTTTAGGACTAAGACTCGCTGCAAGACAAAGAATCGCAGTAGGAATAATAACCACCGAAGGGTTGAGGATCACCATAACTTTTAACACCAACGTCGAACAAAGATTACCGCCGGAATAAAGACTAACATAAGACCAAAGTATCCACGTGTCTCGTGACGCACCTGAAGTTCAAGACCCGTGCACGTGGATGGCATGCACGTCGCGTAGCTCACGTCAGACGCGGTGTCGTTGCTGCACGTGTTAGGATACGTGATGTCATGTATACGTAGTGTTGTACACATACACGAAATATTCTTTACAAACTTGGCATAGTGTAAACAAGCAAGCTTAGACTTAGCTTGATTTCGTGGAGAGCCACTGAAGTAAAGTTAGAAATTCAGAAAACAGAACTTGCATGAGCGCCAAAATCTGACGCAAAAAACATCACATTTATACCGAATATTGAAGAGTAATGCGTGCTTAAGTGTCCGTTGTCTTACTATAACCATTGTCTTACTTATGGTAAAAAACAAATCAACATTACTTTACTGAATGAAAAAATTGAACATTATCTTACTATCAGAAATCAATACTATTAATAATAAAAAAATAATCAAAATCAATACTATCAACAAATCAAAGATGCATTACTATCGGAAAAATGAGTATACCAGAGATGGCGATGTTACCAGTAAACACAGGGGGCACTTATCTCTTGTAATCTCTAACCTTGACCAGCCTACAACATTCGCCAAACCTTATAATCATTTTTGCATTGCAAGATAACGATAAGGAGGAGGAGAGCCGATTGATAAAATGAATCGGTTTCATGCCAGCATGCAAACATATGAGTACATGCTGAAGCGACATTTTTCTTGGTTATGTGCTTAATTCTGCCTTGTAAGTGTTTCTGTAAGTTATAGCATTTGGCGCTCCTGACGTGGATTCTAGCGCACATGTCGGATATATGAATCTCCTGCCGGGGCTGCTAGTGCACCTATCGGAAATATCAAGTTGTGTTTCCGTTTCCACCCGCACTTGTCAGGAAAAGGGAACCTGCGTGTAAGCTGAATATTGCTTGCTTGCAAACGTACTCGATATCGACAAAGACCCGACAATACTGCCCCCTGAACGCCTCCTCCGCGTCCCGCCTCCTCGTGGTGGCAAAGCACTCCTTCATGAACCCCAACCATTGAGCGTTTCCAACCAGCAGCCCATCCGCAGGCTTCCCCCACGAATCGAAGACTGAAATGAAGAGAGGAATGTAATTTTGAACGACGAATACACATATTTTTTTACGTCGTTGTTATCACGAACTCCATGTCATCATATACCAATTATATAAAACCTGCCACGTGCAATATCATTCAGAGATATGCTGTTGTTGCAAATGAGTTTGTGAGCCTAATTAGTTTATTCAAGGAGCCTGCTCTATTTTAATGCTCATGGTTGGGTGCTTCGTATGAACTTGACGCCTATTCAATTAGTCCCAAAAATCATGGAACATCAGTGGCATTTATCGAGGCATGGAAGATGCACTGCAATTTTATTTCTACTGAAAATAAATTTAAAAACGACCATCGTTCCAAATTTGATCAGAAAATCATTTTAATTTGAGCCTCATAATCATGCAGACGATAACCTTCTGTTGCTGTTAGAAGCTACGGGATTCAATTATTTCAGGTCTGAATAACCTACGCTGAACTGCCCACGCCGACAGCATTAAAATGGCGGGTGGGTCCAAAATGGCATCGTAGATGGCGGTCACATCACGTTCGCACTCAGCGCTAAGGGTCCTGTTCGAGCCTCGCCACTCGTGTAACTTGCTTCTCTGCCCCCATTTCGTCGCATTGGATGTAGAGGGAAGCAGCTTGTCTGGTACAGGCAGGTAGTACGGCCACAGCTTCGTGAAGGACTCCTGCACGTAGGTCTCAACCGATGACTCTTCATGAGGAGAATCACCTACAAGGGCCCTAGGCGGCCCTTTTCTCGCCTGCGACGCAAGCTCCGCGAGATTGTGTCTGAAAGCGAAGAGAATTCAATCTTATGAACTAATCTAAATTTTTATGCTGAAAATAAATAACTTCGTTATCCTGTGTTACTAATAGGTTTGTTGCGGGACTGAGATCCTGTATATCATATTTACCTTATTTCTTCTTGGGTAATTGATTTATCAGACGATGACAAATAGAATTTAATAGAAGTACACGTTTCTGACACATCACCCTTGATTGGGCGTAACATGAAACACTCCTATAGTGAATAATTCCTACGGCAACTTCCATAACTATGTATGGCATATACAAATTGAAAGAAACACAGCTACATGCAAAACTTTCTTAATATCATATAATAATAAATTATATTAGCTGTGACTGATGGTGATAAGATTCGGGCACTCAGTTTAGCCTAACATGCAGAATCTCAATGCACACGGAAATGTCCTGCTATACAATGCATGCAGTTAAGTAAAACTGGACTAATGCAGGCAACATTTTGTTCCGAAATAAATCTTTGTAATAACCAACGACGGCTGATTTGCTTCTTTGAGTAATTTCCTTCACATCTACCAACAGCTGAAAGTCACTTTTCTCCTAACTTTTTTATCGCCATGCACATCACATATTTCATTACCTCCGAAGTCAACCCACATTACTGGGAATGGCTTACGAAAACAACATTTGTCAAGTCCAGGCAATAAGTCCAGCAGCTATCTCAATCAATCGTCAATTACGAAAAGATCGGGTTCCAAAGGCCGGATCCCTTGTGAATCACGTCACGAAAAGTTCAAGAATCGGCAACAGGCCATGGGCCTATTTCTTCAAAGCCGACACTTCTAATCTAATCTATTCTATTCTAACATGAAAATAAAAAGTATTCAAATAAGGAGAGTGACTGTATGCAATCTGCTGCTAATAGGAGTATTAAATCGAAAAGCCTATCATTACTACACACAACTTGTTTAATCAGTGAGCAAGTACCATTGTTACACACAAGCTGCAGTATTTTTAGTGGACAGGTACAAGTATACTGTACGCCGCTTTACACAATCTGCCGCGTATTTGTTCAGTCGACAAATACCACCGCACTTTGCTCTGCGTCTCTTATTACTTAAAGTATCATTCCTCACGCCATTAGCTGAGGTCCACTTGCTGCAAACGACAGTCCTTCATTCTGTGGTGCGCGGCGTTGCGTGTGATGTTCTGGTATCGGACCCATAAAGAATGTCCCCGCTAAAATGGGGTAGTGAGGCCAGCGGGGCTCTTGCGCATAGCTGAGGCCGATGAAGGAAGCCGAACAAAGCAGGCTCGTGAAGAAGTAAACTGACACAAGCGTCATGCTGTAGGAAATTTTCCTTGATTTGTTTTGTTAATCCTGTGCAGTACAATAACAAATTTACTATATGTTGTTATTTTATGTTATTATTCTTGTTCTGAGAAAGATAAGTAATGATGGGGTAATATAAGATGCTAGGGCACTCGTCACATTGGCACATGTGCTATTTGATGAGAGGTATGCTTTTCTTGTTCTAAGGAAACAGGTAATGAAGAACGTGCAAAAATGAGATACTCGGGAAGTAATTAGGTCAAGCATCTGACACTTCGTTCAAATAAATACGAGTTCGGGAGTAGACATTGACTGAACTGAAGAGTGAGCTCTGGTTTTACCAAGTAGTCTTGAATACTCAGCTCTCAGAGTTCTAAGTCGGCGGACGGGAACTCTTAATTAAATACAAATTTTACGGATGTATAATTTTTTCCTGCTGTTGTTTGACGGAGGAAAATTGAAAACAACATTTTTTAAAATGAGTGCGTATCAGAATAAGCTGTTTATCAGTTAAGTCGAAAGCAATGTTATGTTTCAGGAACACAATTTTGGTCGCGGATAATTTCTGCCGTTTTTCACAAACCAATGTCCCCCTTGGCTTTTCGTTGTATCTCACAGCAATATGCCGATTCGAGCACTATCTAAATGTATGATAATCATTAATATTTAATCATTGGACACCATCAATGCGACAACCAGCCACAAGAAGACGACTTCAGCATGGAAACTACCCACACGTCAATAGATTGTACCTGCGAGCAGGGAACCTTGCAAAAGCAGTACCTTAGTGGAAGTTGTTACGGAGTGGAATGGATGAAAATTCACTGTGAGGTGATCAAGTATAACTACACTGCAACTCATGCAAGTTATCTATGAGCTCTCGTAGTTGAAGGAGATGCTCTCAGTATCATTAGATATAGAATGCATTATGTTAAAGTATGTGAGATATCCTTGGCCTAATCTTTTTCCGTATTCTACTTCTTCTTGAAGACCTTTTTTTTACAACACTTCTCTTTAACTTCACTTCTTGTTTGTTTGTCTGTCTGCTACAAATGTTATAATCGATATTTAACACACTTCTACCTCTCCAATCGATCTGAAATTTTGCACACTTGTGTATAGTTGGAGAAAATGCATGAATCAATTGACAGAATACATAATTTAAAAAATAAAAATATAATTTTAATTATAAAAAAAATTTGAAAAAATAATTTTGTCTGCCACGAATCTTATAATCGATATTTAACACACTTTTACCTGTCCAATCGATCTGAAATTTTGCACACTTGCGTAAAGTTGACGACAATGCATGAATCAATTGACAGAATAAATAATTTTGAAGATTTAATTAATTTGTATAAATTAGAAATTATAATTTTTTAATATATGAAAATAGAATTAGAAATTTATTGTACATGTGTAACATCAGAGACACTGGATTCTTTAGAAGTGTTGTCTTTAAAAAGTAATTTTTAAACGAATATTATTAAATATTGATCTGTACTTATATGAACATCGACAAGCGGATAGTTTTTTCAAGTCAATTTTCCAATGAGAACTAACTCAATATACGGAGGCTGACGTTTGACATGACTGACGAATAAAATAATTACATATCGCATTTGCTGAATTGTTTCTAACCGTTGACTATACTTTATAGTAATACTGCCTGTGGGGACTCAGGATAACGTCTTTCATGCAATAACGTATATTATTACTTAATTTTAACAGCTACCGCCTAAAAACTTTTTATACGCAACTGGTCTTTCTGGGCTCGTTAACTGCTCCAATTTGACTTTTTAAACCGCGGGCCTTCTCGCCGATTCTGAACCAGAAACTGTCGCACAAAAATTAGATTGAACCCGCACCTCTCTGTACTCTGTTACAATACTGGTATTCTGAACTATAACCAATTAGTTTATACGTATTGTACGTATATACATACGGGTATATTATATACAATATACCAGCAACTTATTTGTCCTATTTTTAATTCAGTTTACCTCCAGATCTTTCCACCGCCCCCAGGGGGGCGGTACCGCCCACTTTGGGAACCACTGCTCTAAAACCCCTGGTCACATCCAGCAACTTCTTTATTAATCCTGAACAGTTTCGACAAATCGGTACAGCACCAGAACTTCAACATGCCATTTTAAACATTCCAATATTAAACTAAGACATTATTGCCAGAAGACTTGACAGCCCAAACCCCAAAATACTAACGCAAATCGACTTAAACATGTGGTTTTGTATTGAAAAAACGTGATTGCTGTAAAATAGTTAGAATTTTTGTAGAAAAGGAAGTTCTTCATTAGTGCTGTGCAGCCTGATGTCAACGACAACGGACATTTAATAATTCTGTTAACCTTTACTATTGGATCCCTTTTGAAGCAAAGCCAAAAATAATCCAGTCAGTCGTAAAATTTGTAACATTGATATCAAAATTACCTTCATTTTTACGATGTTTACCTCATAGGACACTGCGCATCACTAACACGTCCATGCGACAACATTTCTTCTCGCTTCGAGTCACCGACATGTGGAACAGCCTCCCTGAGGTTTCGTTTGGTCACTCGTTGAAGTAAAACGTGTGGTGTGTAACTCTCCAAAGAAGCCGGTTGTGACGCAAAGCCCAGAAAACGGGTAGCTGTGTATTGAAGTGTAGTATCGACGGGAAGTTGAGAGCCTCGGCGTGTCGTGGCCGCCGCTGCGCGGTAAGTTGAAAGCCTCAACGTGTCGTGGCCGCCGCTGCACGGTAAGTTGAGAGCCTCAGCGTGTCGTGGCCGCCGCTGCACGGTAAGTTGTGTATCGTGAAGTGAAGTGTAGTGTCGTGAAGTGAGGTATAGTGTCGTAAAGTGAAGTGTAGTGTAGTAAAGTGAAATGTAGTGTCGCAAAGTGAAGTGTTGTAAGTTGTAACCGAAGCAAACCATCCGCTTCCGAGTCATGTCTCTTCAGTCTTCCCCAAAAAGAGGGCTTTTCAGCTCCTTGCCTGCCTGGGAACTCCCAAAACTTGGAGAGCGAACTCAGTGCTTCTCAGCTTGCAGTGATCCTAGCAGACAGTGACTGGGATGGTGCAACAATGCAGACTGACAGCAATGATGTCATTGAGCCTTCGAATCCTGAAGACCAAAGGAGAAAGCCATCTTTTGACCATACTTCCACTGCAGTACTAGTACGGAAGAAAGTATTTGACGCTGCCCGGCCTGAACATCCAATTCCACCCTCAACTCAAGCACAACAGTTGCAGCTACAGTCTGGAGGCAACAAAAGAGTCGACAATGCAGCAGCTGAAAAACCTACAGTTGTGATAGACAAGCGTAGAGTTGATTGCGTCCTGCTCATGCGCCCAGCTGATGATCCTTCACGTAAGATGCTTTCTTCCCCAGGAAAGCTTTGCGCTGCCCTAGCCTCTCATCCTTTCAACTTGTGCGAAATTCGAGATGTTAGAGTCAACCTGCGGAAGGGGTTCATTGCTGTAGAGCTGGCCGACTCTAACAATGTCAATAAACTGATTTCTACTACTAAACTAGTAGAAACTAGTAGAAATCAACCAATAGAAACTTGGAATGTCACTGCACCAAGCCTAATCAAGCCAAATACCTATATGAAGTTACCTATACCTATGGAGTTACCTATAATACCTATATCTTCCCAGTAGATATAGATGCTGGCATTGAATCGCTAAAAGACTGCCTAAAAATTGATGGACCTGTTGAGATTGTACGGATTGAGAGATTACTAAGACAGGAGCCCAAACCCGTATTCCTTCATCCTCACTACGTCTTGTTCTCTCTGGCAATGCCCTACCAACGCATGTGAAATTTGGCCCAGTCCGATACAAGGTCCGGCCTTTTGAATTCCCCCCTCTGCAATGCTTCCGCTGTCAACTGTCAGGATATTCTGCCCAGGAATGCCGGGGCCCAGAGCGGTGCCTGGTTTGTGCTAGCCCCCACCATGTGAGTAAATGCAAGTGTAGCATAGTAAAGTGTGCAAACTGTGGCTTAGCTAACAAAGCAAATTCCAGAGAGTGCTCTCGTCTGCTGTTGCGTGCTGGACAGCCTCCAACCGGGACCTCCTCATCGTTGCGTCTGCCTCACAGTCCGAGGTTACCGGAGGTCGATGGTGCCGGCTCCCCTGACTGGGCTAAGCCAATTGAGTATCCTGCTCCCACCCGGCACTGGAGCTCGCTCATGGAGCGCTGTTGTCTGCTCACCTGGGCGGGGTTTGCATAAAAGTCAAACTGCTGTCGAGGTACATCATGCGCCTGAGAGCTCCTGCCAGTGTGTGATGACTGCTAGTCCTGTTGATTGTGTTCCTTTGAATTGTGGAGTGGCTGCTCCAGTGCAGCCAGCTGTTGGAGGTCCTGTTGTGATGGATGGAGCTGACCATAAAGAGGGAGAACTGTCCCCTAAGTTCTTGTACAAATTAGGGAAGGTATTGAGCGACCTATTTTCAATGAACTTAAAAGATGAGTCACAAAATAAGCGCAGATCACTCATTGATGCTGCCATCTCAAGACATTTTGAGGTCCCTCTTGCACTGATCCAACAGGCTCCTCCTTCCAATAATGTGAGTGCACCTATGCCAAGCATGCCTGAACCGGACCCTTCAGTGCTTCCGTCCTCTCCCTGTGCCTCGGGTGTCTGCTCGGACATTGACCTTGCCTCAGTATTGGGAGTGGAGAACTTTGAACTGGTCAGTACAAGTGACACATCTGAGGCAGGCTTGCCTAATCTGGGGAATCTGGAGGGTGATGATATCCTGTCAACACCCTCTTTGGGGGCAGGTGGTGGTCAGAAAGCTTCCAGGCATCGCAAAGAAACCAAAAAAGGTAACTCTTCGCCATGTGCCCCACCTGTTGCATCTCGCCGCTCATCTCATCCACGTAAAAAGTTAAGCAAAAACTTTAAACATGGCTCCACTGTCTTCTCCTTTTTCAGTCATTGTCTTGAACTGTAATAGCCTATACTCACACTCAGAAGCCCTGCATTACGTGTCTTAAAGAAACTTGGGTAACTTCAAAATTTCTCCCCTCATTTGTTGGCTACACTGCCAACCGGTGCAATAGGGACGGTAGGGGCGGGGGATTGTGCATCTGGGTCCGCAACACACTGTGTATTAGGCCTCTTCCCATTGCTCCCTTTACAGGAGGAGTTCTAGATGTGCAAGCTGCTAGTCTTCTTTTCTTGAATGCCTCGTCAATCTCCATTTTGAACATTTACAACCCAAATTCTGCAGTTACGCCACAAGAACAATTCAGTTATGTTCAACAGCTAACTCCTCCGTACCTTGTGGTTGGAGATTTTAACGCTCGCATTCCTCTCTTATCATCTCACACACTGGCACCTGATGCCACTGGACGGGCCCTCGAGGACTTGTTGATTTCTGAGCCGTTAACACTGCTCAATCCCACCGACTTTTACACATATATAGACCGCCGAACTGGAAACCCTGGGTGCTTGGATTTGGTGTTTGTGTCATCAGACATGTCAGGATGTAGGGAGTGATCATTTTCCCCTCCTTGCTACCTCACAGCTTGAGCTTGTTCACTTAGATTCAGCTCCAGTTCCTAGGTGTAAAATCGGGACATAAGGATTGGCGAGGTACGCCTCCCATATTAATGCCTCTGCTGTGGTGTACCCTAATACGGTTGATACAAAAGTTTCTGACATTACTAGTAGAGTCATTGATACAGCAGTAAAAACTTCCCCAACTTCAACCGGGGCTCCTCCAATAGGACTCACATCACCTTGGTGTTGGTGGACAGAAGCCTGCAGATTGGCCATAATCGACCGTCGAAAGGCTCTAAGGACTGTAA